ACTGGGGTGTTACTAGCGCGTCGGAGGTGCAGGTCATGAACAGGTGCATGGACAGCCCTGCTTAATGGATGGCCCACCTCAAAGGCTTGTGATGCTTTGGTGAGAAACACCGGACTTCCCACACACCAGTCATTCGGCTTCTGCTGCTACAATTTTTGCTCTACATTTGTGCCACCTGTACTGCTAACTCCTTGCTTGTATTTAAATTTACTTTTTATTTAAAAATCTACTTTTCTTTTTTTGTTACTTTTGTGTTATTCTGGATCTGCTTTTTAACTTTTATTTACTTATCTTAATTCTTATAGTCATGAGTTTGAAATGTTATTTATACTTTTCTAATTGTATTAAAATAGATACTATTTTAACAATAGGACTGTTTATTAGATTACTATTTGTTTAATAGATGACTATTCTAATACAGAATGTTCACCTGTGGACCTCTGGATATCCTCTTGTACACTGCTCGTGGTATGCACATCAAGCTCTGCGAAACAGTGGCCAGATGGTCACAGTGGATTAATTTATAGCTTGACCTGATTTTGTATAGTATATCCTTGGATGTTGACACTAAAGCCTTGGGACTCTCATTTTTTTAATTTATTTTTTTAGATTTTTATTTATTTACTTGACAGAAATTACAAGGAGGCAGAGAGAGGGAGAAGCAGGCTCCCTGCTGAGCAGAGAGTCCGATGCAGGCCTCGATCCCAGGACCCTGAGATCATGACCCGAGCTGAAGGCAGAGGCTTAAACCTCTGAGCCACCCAGGCTCCCCACTTGGGACTCTCATTTTTTCAGTAACTTTGCATTCAGCAGAATTCACACGTTGGAAGGGCCTCGTGAGGATACTTCTCCTGCTCGGATCAGATAGCACAAACAGCTGTTATGGTCTCCTCATGTCTGGAAGGTCTCCTTGGAAGGGCTTGACGTGCTCTCAGCTGAGTAGTGCTTCTGTGCCCAGTTATTTTAGCTCTGGCCTGTGTCCACAAACTGCTGGCCATTTCTGAGTTCCAAGGCAGTATTCCCAAGGGATACGTGACCCTGAACGTGCAGAGGAATGAGAGCAAATACTGCACTCACTCCCAAATAATTGACCCAAAGCCTATGTTGCATTAATAGTTGGCCAGGAGTCAGAATGGTGACAGTGTAGCAGAACCACAGAGGCTCCCTCCCCAACACCTGATAAACTGATCCAAAACATTCGCCAACATCAACCAACCAGACAAACAAAAAATCCAATCACAACTTTGATGCCATGTACTTTGAAAAATGGCAGGCCCTTTCCAAAGGAAGAAAACACCCCATCCTGAACCTTCAGAAGCAGTCCTAGGAAAAGAAGGGAGGGAAGGGTACAAAATCCTCAGGACCCCACTAAATCAGATTGGTATGAAAGAAGCTGGTGGAGGAGGTGAGTGGACGATCTTGGTTGATGTCAGGAGATATTGTCAGCAGAGGCTGGAAGGCAACCCAGGGCAGGCCATCTCTGTGCTGAGCTACAGGAAAGAGACCGCAGGAGTGCGTGCACCCTGGCTAGGCAGAACAGGCGCCAGCATGAGACATTTCCTTGGCTTCCAAAAGAGAGAGCAGCACACTGGACCCCCAACCAGGGCAGGCCTAGTGTGTCCTGCCTTTCCTCTGTGGCAGAACACTGCATAAAAAGCATCAGCCAAGCACAAATTGTAGCTCAGAGGGAGAGAGTGTTAGGGATATGTTGGCTTACTATAAAAGAGCAAACAGAAGCTCTGGATAGAGATGCTCATGTTAAATGTGAGCAAGATGAAGGTAAGTGTCATGACAGCTATGTGAAAATGCTACATCAGAATAAAGAAAGGAACATGGATTGCAGAAACAGACATACAATCAGCTGGGCCCGAGCAGAAACCCAGTGCAAGAAAACTCAGCCTCACAAGTATTTCGTGCTGTCAGAGAGCTCAGGATCAATTCAGTGGAAATAAAAACTCAATATAGTTATGACAAGACAACAATGAGATTTTTTTAAATTTTCATTTTTAATTGTGATAAAATATAACATGAAACTTGCCATCCTTTCCATTTTGGGGAGTACAGTTCAGTAGTGTTAAGTACATTCACATTATGCAGCCAAGCTCCAGAACTCCTCTCATGTTGCAGAACTGACTGCCCATTAAACAGTTCCCCATTCCCCCCACGCTCTCCCCTGGTAACCACCATTCTTTCCATCTCAGTGAATTTCAGTAGCACAGGTACTTCATAGGAATGAGATCATAGAGGACTTGTTCTTTGGTGACTGGCTTATTTCACTTGGCATAATGTCTTCAAGTCTTACCCATGTTGTAGCTTGAGACAGAATGTCTTCCCTTTTAAGACTGAATAATATTCTAATGTATGATCTACCACGTTTTGTTTCTCCTTCCATTCCTTGATACACACTCGGTTGCTTCTACTTTTTGGCTACTGGGAACAATGCTGCTATGAAGATGGGTGTATAAATATCTCTTTGACTCACTGCTTTCAGTCCTTTTGGGTGTATGACCCAGGAGTAGAACTGCTAGATTGTATGATATCCCATGTTTTGTTGTTTAAGGAACCATTGCACTCTTTTCCGTAGCAGCTGTGCCATTTTATATCCTCACCAATACATGTTATTTTGGTGGGGGTTTTGTTTGTTTGTTTTTGTTGTTGTTGTTGTTGTTGTTTTGTTTTTGACAATAGCCATCCTAGTGGAAATGAGGTTGAATGGGATTTTTAAAATACACGTTGACGAGGGGCACCTGGGTAGCCCACTCAGTTAAGTGTCCAACTCTTGATTTCAGCTCAGGTCATGATGTCAGGGTTGTGAGATCGAGGTCTGTGTTGGACTCTGCACTGGGCATGGAGCCTGCTTGAGATTGTCTCTCCCTCTCTGTCCCCTCACCCCTGCTTGTGTGCATACATTCTCTTTCTCACTCTCTAAAACAAAAAAAAGAGAAAGAGAAAGTATATAGGCAAGAAATGATATAGGAAAGAAATGAGGAAAGGAAGAAGAAATACCAAGCATTAATGTAAAAATATATAGTTTACCTCTTAAATTTTCATATATTTTTTTCTCAGCGTTAAATCTTGTGTGTGTGTATATGTGTTGCTGTTGTTGGTTAAATAGTTAACTATAGGTCAAAAAGCCATTTAATTTTCACTTCTGTTTCTTTTTTTTTTTTCTGTTAAATTCAAGCAAAATTAAATAACCGTTATGTGAAAAAAACCGATAATACAGTATATATGCTTGAAGAGTTATCCAGAGTAATGTTCACCAACTCTAAGTGGTGGGTTATTGGAGGACTTGCTTTCTCCTTTGTACTTTTTTATGTGGCTTGAATTTTTTTTAATGAGCCCACATGTTTATGAAAGTGCCCATAGTTTTATAAAAGCCATAAAATTGTTACCATTAATATAAAATATTGGTCCATAGTATCATCATTATTCTAGTTGGGTCTTAATCATTTAAAAAAATTACAGTCTTGTCTTGACAAACCCCAGAAAGACAAACTTTTGCAACTCATGCCTCAGATATTGGCAACTGCCTTGGGGCGAAAGGCATGTGCAGTGGAAAACATTAGCTATTCTAATAGGATGCTTTTTGACTTCTTATTGAATTCATAAATCTAAACAACGAGCTGGTGAGTGTGAATTGGGATTGACTCGGATTCCCATGATGCTGGTGACAGAAAGCATGGTACAGTGTAGTGCGGTTTGTTGTGCACATGGCTGAATGAGGAACATGAAAACCGCACTTCTAGTTCGGCCCTAACCAATATGCAGCACCAGAATTTTGGACGTTTGGAGTGCTTCTCACTCTCTGCACTTCCTTATACTGAACTTCTTTCTTTTCTTGAATTTGCCATGGTCTCCTGCCTCCAGGCCTTTGCACAGGCAATTTCCTCTCCTCAGGACACACTTCCTTTCCCTTTATTGGGTTCTTTCTTGTGTTCAGGGCTTAGTTTTAGCCTCCTTCTTCTAGAAGGCCTTCTGCATTGTAACTGATGGTACTTCTTCCTTGATATGCCTGGCAGTCTATAGTCACTCACTTGGTGTCAGAGTTCCACAGCAGCCTGGCCTGGGGGCGACTAGGATCTAGGAAGGGCAAGGTCAGGTTCTCTCATTGCTCTTCCATAGCACAAGTTTTGTTTTCTTCCTCTGGGCTCCACCAGGGTGGTAACTCTCCTCAAACTAACTTGTGGCCTCTGAGTTTTCTTTTTTTCTCAGCAGGCCTCTTCGGTTCTGCTTCTGTTGGAAACTGCAACTTTTCTTGGAAACATTCAAGTTTATCAGGAGAGAGTAGCTGTTCTGTTTAGCCCGTTTCCCTCCAGCACTAGTCATTCCTGCAGGAGAGGGTATCACCCCTGCACCCACAGGCCTGTGTCAGAGGGAACTTGGGCCCAGGCTGGCATTCTTAATTCCCTCTGAACCCCCTGCTTGGCCTCTCTGGTAAAAGAGATGGAGGGAAGAAAGCCTGTTATAAAGCTGTGTGTGCCATGAAATCCTAAACATATGTTTTATATATAAAAAACCAAAAAGAAAGGTCAAATCAGGGGGTGCCTGGGTGGCTCAGTGGGTTAAGGTCTCTGCCTTTGGCTTGGGTCATGATCCCAGGGTCCTGGGATTGAGCCCCACATCGGGCTCTCTGCTCAGCAGGGAGCCTGCTTCCCTTCCACTCTCTGCCTACTTGTGATCTCTGTCTGGCAAATAAATAGATAAAAATATTTGGGGGAAAAAAAAGAGGTCAAATCATTATCAGTGGGTTTCTCTGATGGGATTTCTAGTTATTTTTACTTTCCTGTTTTCACCTTTTCTGTAATAAACATTTTCATAGACGCTAAATGGTATTTTGTAAGCTCCTATATGTAACCTTTGACTGAGCAGCCCCCAAGAAAACTAGGGAAGGTTGGCCCTGCCTGATGAAGCTTAGTGCTGTTCTAGTCACTTTTTTCATCTGTGCCCCCATCTGATGTGTTTGTTTGCTCTTTCCCCCATGTCTGTCTTTTCTCCAGATGACCGGATGACTGGCATCCCTCCACACATCCTCAACAGCTCCCCATCAGACCGGCAGATCAACCAGCTGGCGCAGAGGCTGGGCCCCGAGTGGGAGCCTGTGGTGCTGTCTCTGGGCCTGTCCCAGACAGATATCTACCGCTGTAAGGCCAACCACCCCCACAACGTGCAGTCACAGATGGTGGAGGCCTTCATTCGCTGGCGTCAGCGCAATGGGAAGCAGGCCACCTTCCGGAGCCTGCACAGAGGCCTCCAGGCCGTGGAGGTGGACCCCTCAGTGCTCCAGCACATGTTGGAATGATGGGGTCTCCCGGCACCATCCCATGGGGGAGTGTGTCCCCAAGTTGCGTGGGCGGAATCCTGACTTTCTCCCAGGGCAGGTAGTTTCTGGGCTTTCCGGGGGTGGGGGTAGGAGTGGGGTGGGGGGGGGGTCTTTTCTTTTTAATGATCTGTAAATGAAAGGAGAAAATGAGATTTCCAGTTGGTGTTACTTGAAAGGCCAGATTACTCAGTAGCTCTACCACATCGACTTGACAATTCATTGTTTTTACTGTCTTGAAGATTGCGTTGTTTTAATTGTGCAGGTTTTAATTGTGTGAGTGCCTTTTAATAAACTGGTAAATCATAATGGCTGAAAAAAATTACTGTCTTATCATATTACATGCAGATATCCTATAGATAGATAGAGATATCTGTCTATACCTATCTATATCTATATATAACATCTACTTTGATATTGCCTGGGAACTGAACTGTGGACTTTGCTATTAACGATGATAATAAAAAGTGAATTACTGTACAGAATGTGGCCTTTCATGAGACAGTATTATTTGTTTTTTCTCATTCCTGTAGTGCATAGATTAAGGGTGTAAAATTACAGTAGTCCTTTTTTTGGAACAGAATTACTAGTAGTAACAAAATGGTTACTTTCTCCAGTCAGGATAAATCGCTCAGAGGGGATGTCTGCATTAAATTTAAGACACTGAAGCTCCCTGTAAGGCCAGTTCAGGTACAAGCGTGCATCCCTGAGCCCTTCATCTTTGAGAGATTGCTTAAGAAAATCCTGTGTTTAAAGGATTTAGTTGGGGGACAAAAGAGGGTGTGGTCTTTCCGTTGACATTGTAGTGATTGAAGTGTTAGGCTCCCAAGGAGTATGACTTAGTCTTCTGTCTTTTTATTAATGACACATGGTATTTTTTGACAAATGCTTTCCTGTTTTCAATCAAGGGTTTTCATATATGTGATCTCATTTGGGCCTCACAAAAATGCTATGAAGTAGCTGGTCAAGAGAGGTGAGCCTCCTTCTGTAGTGAGATTAAGTGATTTGCTAGCGGTGAATGAGCTATAAAATGTGTCTTTGGAGCCCTGCTCTTTCCACCTGGTCCCTGCTGCTTCTCCTCCTCTCTCTCCCGTGCTCCTCAAAGAAACTTGAATCCCGTTCTCCTCCTGCTAACAGCATCGCTGTGGACAAGCTGCCCCTCTTCTCTGACCCTGTACAAAAGAGGAAATGATTGTCCTCTCCTCCTAGATTTTTGTGATAATTAAGGGAATAACGTCTGCCAGGGTCTCATCCAGTGCCTGGCCCTTAGTCAGCTCTCAGAAGTGGGAACTGTTCTCTTGCTGCTGTGGCTGCATACGGATCAAGTTCACAGGCAGAGCTGGTTAGTGGCTAGAGCTGAGGGCCCTGCAGGAGGAAGCACTGGGACCGTGTTTCCTGCTAAGCTTTAACATGTGATGTAATTTACTAACTGTACCGTGGGTCCAATCAAGAGAGGGACAGGCGAACAGTCCCAATCCGTGATCTGTTCTTCTGAATAATTGGGGAATCTATTTCCTAATCCTAACCTAACTCAGGATTTTTTTCAAAGGGAAAACATTGTACTTTTTACCTTTATTCCGGGACAAGTATATAGAACGGCTGAGTTGAACATGACGTGAGTGCTCCAAAAGGTGACAGTGATATGTCGATCATATCCTTGTAGATGTCTGGCAACCATATTCCCTTTACTAAAAAAGATCAATTACAGGTCAACAAACAGTTCAAAAGGATGGTCTGCTGGCCTCATCAGCTCTAATTTTCCATTTTGCAGCCCAGCCATTAATTCATTGTCTTGTAAAATTCTCATAGACTTTGGCCCCATGACTGCACTAGTGATAGACTAGACTGTACTTCCGTGGCATCTTCCACACTGCCTGTCATTCTGAATCCTGGACTTGTTACTTTGCTATTTGTTCCCCTGAGCTTGCTAACAGAGAGTTGCTTTGGCTTTTGTTCTCACCGCATTTATTGCCAAGGGCATATGGCTGGGCTCTGCTGCCTCTGACTAGATGGCATTTCAGAAACGGGTCTGATGATTAGCTAGTTCATCTTCCCACCGTTTGCTTGGAAGCGGAATTCGTCATGCACAAAGACACTTCGGTGCTCTGTCCATCACTGGCTGCCAGGGCCGGTAGAGAGCTCTGACTTGCTGCCCTTGATGAGCAGGGTGTCTCCCCCATCACATGGCAGCCGCAGCTGCTGGGCCTGCTCACGTTCTTGCAGAAGATTTGCAGAATGCCAGAAACAGAGCATCTAAGTCACTACCTCGTCTCTGCCTCTGGCTGTGGAGAGTGATGCCAAATGGCATTTGCCTGCCTCCCAGGAGAATCGGGTAGGTGACGTGCCTGCAAGGAGTCCATGTGGTTTTGCCTGGTAGAAGATTCTATGGTTCCAGAGGCTGCCTACCTCCAAACAGAATTCTGAATGAGTACAGGGCAGTGGCAGAACGTTTGCAAGCACTGTCCAGAAAAATATGAAGTCTTACTCCACTTTGCTTCGGGGAGCACATGCGTGTACATTCATGAGTATGCCCTCTAGCTTTTTTTTTTTTTTTTTTTTTTAAACTAGAACTTTTAGGAAGTTTTTCTCAGTACAAAATAGTGAATGCCCATTATAGCAGTTTAGAAAATACCAGTGAGCAAGAATAAAAAAATAAAAATTACCCCTACCCCATCCTCCAAAGATAACCACTAGGACACCCCAGTTTTAGTCTCTATCCCCAGTTACTTTCCTATGGCTGCGTATGCTTTTTATAATGAAAATGAGATTGTATCAAAGCAACTGTAACTAGAAGACGTAGTTAAAGGATATACAAAATTAAAAGATGTGATGTAGGTATCCATAATCCCAGTTTTCAAGATATACTACAAAGCTGTAGGAGTCAGAAGTATGGGCACACAAATAGACACATGGCTCAATGGAACAGAATGCAGAGCCCAGAAACAAACCCATGCATTTATGGTAAATTAATCTATAAGGGAAGAGACAAGAATATGTAATGGGGAAAAGACAGTCTCTTCAACAAATGATGCTAGGAAAACTGGACAGTTACATACAAAGGGATGAAACTGGATCACTCACACCATTCACAAAAATCATCTCAAAATGGATAAGGAACTAAATGTGAGACCTAAAACAAAAAAAGCTCCTAAAAGAAAACACAGGCAGTAATCTCTCAGCCATCACCCTTAGTAATGTATTTATGGATATGTTTCCTCAGGCAAGGGAAACAAAAGCAAAAATAAACTACTGAGACTACATCAAACTAAAAAGCTTCTGCAAAAGAAGCCATCAACAAGATGAAAAGGCAATCTACCGAATGGGAGAAAATCTTTGCAAAAGATATATCTGATAAGGAGTTAATATCCCAAATATATAAAGAACGTGTATAACTCAACACCAGAAAAACAAATAATCCAATTAAAAAATGGGCAGAAGACCTTAATAGACATTTTTCCAGAGAAGACAGGCAGATAGCCAACAGACACATGGAAAGATGTGGAAAAGATGGAAAGATGCTCAACATCACTCATCATCGGGGAGATGCAAATCAAAACCACAGTGAGATGCCGCCGCATGCCGTCAGAGTGGCTAAAATCAGAAAGACAAGAAATAAGTGTTGGTGAGGATGTGAAGAAGAGGGAACCCTTGTGCATTGTTGGTGGGAATGAAAATTGGTGCAGCCACTATGGAAAACAGTATGGAGAGTCCTCAAAAAAACAAAAATGGAACTACCATACAATCCAGCAATTCTGCTTCTGGAAATTTAACCAGAGAAAATGAAAACACTAGTTTGAAAAGCTGTCTACACCCCTATGTTTCTGCAGCATTATTTACCATAGCCAAGAGACGGAAGCAACCCAAGTGTCCATCGATGGATGAATGGATAAAGAAGAAGTGGCATATGTATACAGTGGAATATTCCTCAGTCATAAAAAAGAATGAAATCTTGCCATTTGTGACAACATAGATGTAATTTTAGGGTACTAGGCTGAGTGAAATAAACCAGATAGAAAAAGACAAATGCCATAGGATTTCACTTATATGGGGTATCTAAAAAACAAAACAAATGAACAAACAAAACAAAAAGGCTAATATGTACAGAAAAGAAAATGTTGGTTATGGGGTGTGGGGAGGGGATGTGTTGGGTGGGCAGGCAAAATAGATTAAGGGGATCACGAGGTATAAACTTCCAGCTATAAAATAAGTAACTCATGAGGATGCGATGCACAGTATAAGGAACATGATATTGTAAGAACTTCGCATAATGACACGTTAACTGGATTTATCATGGGGGTCATTTCACAATGTGTAAAAACATCGAATCACTATGATGTGCACCTGAAATGAATAGGATGTAGTATGTCAATTATACTTCAATAAAAAAAATGGGATTGTATTGTACATGGTGTTTTACAATTGGCTTCTTTTATTTAACATATAGCTGTCTTTGCATGTCATTAAAGATTTTTCTATACCAGTGATTTTCATTGTCCTTTGTGTTTGGAGCACGCTTTCAAGTCCTATAATTTTCGGCAACATGTTTGAAGAAATTAAAAAGACTCTAGCTACTGAATGTAAGAAGGTCTTTCACTGTCAAAACATCCACCATTTTCCCACTATTTGTCTGACGCCCCCCTTTAGAACCATGTCCTTCCTTGCTTGAGTAGAGCTTTTGGCTGCTCCCACTACCGTACACTCATATCCTGAAAAGGCAAAATTGAGCACTTTCCCATAAACATTCTGAGCTTTTTATTTATTCCTCACAGCAGGAAGCCTTCTCCTCTGCTCTGTGTGACCCCCTCCGCTCTGTGTTCCATTTGTATACGCGTGTGCATTCCGTGGCCAGTCGGAACCGGTGTGTGTGGCTCTGTTCTCCACCGTCATGTTTAGCGGTGGCGTACTTGCCCACATAGGTGTGCGTCATGATTTGTTAACCACTCTCCTATGACATGAAAGGGACCTGTAGGTGGTTTTTGCTCTGTCACTTTTACAAGCAGTGATGTGATGCAAGGGAGTTCCTCGTTGTTAAATGTTTACATCCCGCAGAAGCTACAGTGAGCTGG